ATTCTGATTTTCTGATTCATCGACAGCTGTGGGCTATTCTATCTTCTTCCCAGAACCACCTCCCTTGTCGCATCTATCTATTCATGTACCCCCTGCCTGACCATTGGGTTTTTTCGCAGAAGCAAAAGCGCGAGGCTGATCGTAGCGACGAGTGTCATCCTTCAGATGAGATCCAACGGGCAATCGATCGTCCGAAGGGCACAGGTATCGTTCTAGGCCAAGCTGTTGCATTTACCGGGGGTGGGTTTGGAGCACGTGCAACCACGGGGAGGGGAAATAACCCTACCGTGCCGTGTATGTTGGTCACAACCGTGCAAAGTTTGCAACAGGTGGACACTCATGGTTGTTAGGGGGGTCAAACTCGACGGCCGGGGTCGCTGCCTTGCGGCACCCTCCTCACCACGTCGTTTAAAGTTCCAACGACCTTACGCGAAGTTGTGTTTTTCACGTGCCATTTTTCGTGCAGCCCTTCGTCAACTTGCCCGAATCCCCAGCGACTTCTTGACAGGGAAAAAATGTGCAACATCACACACTACACTTCCCTCTCAATTCACGCACGGGTGAACAACAGCTGCTGCTGCAGATAGTTTCGACGCGCGCACAACACCGCAGAGCATGGTGAACCCTACTCCCCCCCTTCTCGGTGCAAGGCACAAGAACGCACTTGCCGCGCTCGTCGACCTCGTCTCGTGCACGGAAGAACGGCAACGTTTCATCGCGCACCCTTCCTCCACCGCCCTATCCCCCAAACCCCATCTCTGTGGATCGAAGGAAATCTTCGACGAGACGCAGAGGAGGCGGCTGGCCTGCCTGAGGCAGAAGCTCCTCCGGACCTTCCGCAGGGAGCGGGCGAGGAACTGGCTGCCCAAGCGCGGTGGCGACCGGCAGCTCAGCATCGTGTACGGCCCCTCGAGCCCGTGGGGCAAGCGGGAGGCCCTTCGCCTCCAGCGCGAGCAACACAAGCAATTCGAAAAGGTTTCAGAGACAGGGTCTAGCTATGCCAGCCAGCACCGCCAAACACTGGCATGTATACCTCCGTGGGGAGGGGGGAGCGTACTGATGTTTTCCATGCCTGAGCGGTTTGACCATTGTCCACACGTCCTTGAGAGCTCGAGGGGGGGGGGGGGGGGGGGGGGGGGGGGGGGGGGGGGGGGGGGGGGGGGGGGGGGGGGGGGGGGGGGGGGGGGGGGGGGGGGGGGGGGGGGGGGGGGGGGGGGGGGGGGGGGGGGGGGGGGGGGGGGGGGGGGGGGGGGGGGGGGGGGGGGGGGGGGGGGGGGGGGGGGGGGGGGGGGGGGGGGGGGGGGGGGGGGGGGGGGGGGGGGGGGGGGGGGGGGGGGGGGGGGGGGGGGGGGGGGGGGGGGGGGGGGGGGGGGGGGGGGGGGGGGGGGGGGGGGGGGGGGGGGGGGGGGGGGGGGGGGGGGGGGGGGGGGGGGGGGGGGGGGGGGGGGGGGGGGGGGGGGGGGGGGGGGGGGGGGGGGGGGGAGGTTAGCTTAGATAGTGGGAGTTGTCCGGTGGCAGCATACGTGAGAGCGGATGCCAACGACGAAGGCGATGACCAGGAGACCCGATTACAAAGCAGACGAATTTCGGCAAGGAACATGTTGCCCGACTCGTGGTGTGGTGTGATATCGAAGTCGACGGCACTCAGAAGAAGCGAACCGATTTCCCTGCCCCGCCTCACTCTCTTGTCTCTCTGTCTCTCTTTGCCCCGCCTCCCTCCCTCCCCTGTCTGCCTGTCGTTTGCCATTGCTAGAATACGGCGAAGGCTAAGATCGTGGGCGACATCCGCAACCCCACGCCCTTCGAAGCAACCCGGGCGGAGAACGGCGCCCTGGCAACCGAAGCCAAGGTGTGTACTTCGTGTAGAGTAAGCGCAGCCTCCCCGCCCGCGAGCAGCGATAACCCGTGCGGTGAACCGTAGTGAAAGCGTATGTAGTATGTAGCTCCTATCACCTGCACCGTCACCACAAGACTCTTTTGCTTTGAGTGAGGCATGCCTTGTGAAATAAAGCAAGCCACCGCTGTAGCCCGATTGTAGACTTGTCTTATCGACGGGGAGAGAGAGGGAGGGAAAGAGGGAGATACGCACACACGCAGACACACACTCACGGCGTGACAGAGAGAGACGTGCTGAGAAAGAGAGAGAGAGAGAGAGAGGGAGAGGGAGGGAGAGAGAGAGAGAGAGAGAGAGAGAGAGAGAGAGAGAGCCAGAGAGCGAGTGAGCCGAGAGCTGTCTTTAAACGACGATTCAGGAAAAATCACGTGCGATCGATGAGACCTGCAAATGATTCCGCCGTTCACCCTATACCCCCTAACGAACAAAAAACAGCCCCCTCGACACTAGGAAAGAAACGTGGTAATGTCGTTCAGCCGGAAGTGGAGCAAGAGCGACTGCTTCGTTGGTGTTCGGCAACGTCGGCAGCTCTAACTCGTCTCCGTTTTTCCTGTCACCGGCGTCGTGCCTCTCCAGGTGAAACAGGAAGTATGGGACGCGCTGCTGAAGCGCTACGGGTACCAGGAGGTGACGGACATGCTCGCCCTGATGCACTCGGCGTCGGTCATCCGGAGGGCCGTCCGGGCGATGCGGCAGCGGAAGTGGACGAGGAAGATGGCGAAAATAGACCCGGAGATGGTGGAGAAGGTCGAACGACTTAGAAAGATCCAGGTACAGACAGGGAGAGAACACCATGGATCACCACCGTTGCCACTGCTGTGAATTTTTTGTGGATGCAGATAGATGCAAGACTACTTCAGGCCGATGCGTGTGTGGTTGTTTCGATACTTTTCGTACGCCGAGGTCGGGAGATGCATAGTGACTGACGCATCAGGGACGTCTTTTGGGGGCAAGGAAACCAACACTGCGCGGACGAGGTGTTGGTGTCGTGCTGTGCAAGACGATTCGAGGGTATCGCCCTACTTACAGACCGCGGCCTTTCTCGTACGCCACGTAACGGCTGTGGTTCTGCCGGAGACATCGCCAGTGGGTCACCTTGATGCCCAGTTTGCACTCGCTCCTGAAAACAAGGCCGACGAAGTAGGCATGTATCTTCAGCCAATCACCCCAACTACAGTCGTCACAAGCCGGAACGAAAGTGGTGCATACCAACCTAGACTCTTTCAATAGCCCGCTACAAGTGAAACGAAGGTTTTCTCGTAAAGCAGAACCAAGACTTTATTTGCCTGTTGTAATGACCGCTCAACTTCTCCTGCTCGACTGACTGCCGTGCCAGCCTTTCCCGACGCCACAGACACCATGGCTCTGAAAAACACACAGCCAGCCATGCACGGCGCCATCATCCTCAAGTTGCCCCCACCTCGTGACCGCAAATCCAGCCGCCACGGCCAATGAACCTCTCCTTCCGGTCCCCCCACCCCACCCCTCTCAAAAACTCGTACACCTCGAAGGAACAACGCAAGGCCAAGATGAACGGCGGCGGGGCGAGCGCGACCTCGAGCGGCCGAGGCATAGAGTCGGCACCGTCGGCGACGAACGGCGAGGGTGAGCCGCGGGACGACCACGCTATCGCCGCGACCGGCCCCGCTTCCGCCGGGACCGCTACTGCTGCTGCTGTCGCAGCCCCCTTCGCCCCCGCTAGCGTCGCCGCGACCGCCGACCGCGGCGCTCAACGGCCGTCTCGCCCCTACGAGGCTCTGCTGGCGGGGTCTTTAGAGAAGTTCGAGGACGATCATCGTCACGGGGACGGTAGCCGGGATGACGGCGGCAGTGGTGACGCTACGGAAAAAGCGTCCGCAGGGAGTCGGGCGCGGGGTGCCCGAGGCGGGCGACCGTTGTCCTCGGGCGGTAAACCTACATGTAGGTTCAATACCATCGGAGGTCGAGGGAAGGACGTCGAAAGGGAGGAGAACTGTAGGCAGAAGAAGCGACAGACTCGGGCGAAGGCGCGGCCGAAAACTGCAGGGGCAGGGTCCGGAGGAGTACAGGGCGTGATTGCGAGGATGGGCGGTTACGAGAAGGTGAGTGACCTGGCTGGTAGGAAAGTAACTGCAGCAGCAGCAGCAGTGGAAGGAGTGAGTGGAACGCCTTCGTCGGCGTGGCGTACTGAACGATTGGTCGCCACCGGTCTTCTTTGGCGGGTAGGGAATCGTTATCTCTGGTGTGTGGAATGCTGACCAAGAGCAACGTGCTTGTGTCAAGAGAAGACTGGGAGTAATGTTCCCCACCCCCCCCACTCGCCTTTCTCTCACCCCCTGACATGGCGAAGCTAACTCCCGTCATGCTCCTCTCAATGCTCTTCCCTCTGCGCACAATTGTCGATTATTATAGTCTGTTTTCCGAGAATTCGGTGGCGATGGCCGGGGCGGCGCCGTTGACCAGCAACTGTCGCAAGACGTGGTCCTTTTAGAGGACCTCCGTGGCACGCTGACGCAGGTGATGGCCTGGGATCTCACTCAGGGGGCAGGGGGAACTGACGTTGCCGCTACCGGACCCGTTGCCGCCGGCCACGGCACCGGGGGAAGCACCCGAGAAATAGGGGTCTCCCCTGACCCCTCCCTCGTTGACGAGTCGCCGGTGGCCAAGAACCACGCAACGTCGAGGCTGTCGGGAGTAGCAGCAGCCAAGACGAACGGGAAAGATCAGCAGGAGCGGGCTAGCGCCAGCTCTTCGGGATTGGAGGTCAGCGAGAGGAACGTCGGAGGAGCCCGCGACGAAAACCTTGAGGAGCACGTCCCGGTGGCCCTCGCGGGACATCACGTCGACGGCTCCGCCGAACTTTTACGCCACACCGGTGAAGATCCCGGGGCATCGCCGACAGCAACACGGCGACTTTCGGACTGTCCTCGTGGAAGACGAGTCGTCGGCGGAGGCGGTGGCGGTGCTGCTGAGGACACGAACTTGGCTGCAAGCACAAGCGACGATGACGGTAGCACATTGACAGCGGCGAGCGCGGCCAGTGCGAGGAGCTGCAAGAGGCGAACCCCTCCCGCCCCGCTTACCGACGACGAGCGCATGAGCATGCTCCAACACATCAGACCTTCGGTGTTTGGCGAGCCGACCGCGTTCAGCCAACGGCGCCGTGCAGCGGTGACTGCCACTCGCCCGCGATCTGCCGCAGCCGGGGCCATCGAACACTCTGGGCATCAAGGAGGCATCCCGGGCGGTTACCACCACCAGCCTCCCCGTGCATCAACAGCCCGAAGGACGTCGCGTAGAGGAGAGTCAGACTCAGTATACCGGGGTAGCGGAATCGGGGCTCCGAAGCACAGAGGTGTTCTGGTCCACGACGGCTGGGTCGCCGGGCAGGGCGAGCCATCGTCGTGCGCGTTTTCGACTTCGACGGGAACAACACCGGCTTCGTCAAGTCTCCGGGGAAGCCGCTTTGTCTCCAGCAGTGGCGACGGCGGTGGTGGCAGAGGGGGAGGCGCAAGACCGGTATCGTTGTTGAACAGCGTCTCGCTCGGGGTAAACTTGGGGGTGCTGGACGCGCTCTCGGACACCACGATCTCGGCAAGTGCCGCCAACGCCTTTGCCTCCGCTGCTGCGGGGTTAGGAAAGTCGACCGCGAAGCCTCACCTGCCGGCGACTCTAACAACCTTGGCGCGTCCAGGCGGGGGAAGAAACAACGAAGATTGGCAACGGTATCAATGAACCGTGTGTGAGTAGACGACGCCTCACACAGGGAGGCACGTCCGTTCTGAACGACCTTTACTTGATGATGTTTTTCACACCATGCCGTCCGGGAAGGGGCGGGCGGGGGGTATGGGGATGTTCCCTTCTTCTAGCCTTGACCCTTGTGACGCGAAAAAGAAAGTGAGTACGTCTAAGAAATTCGCGACAACGAGGAAAGCACCGTTCTACCCGCGAGCGACACTGCTGCTGAACTACCAGAGGAGGCTAGGGAAAATGTTGTTTCTCCGTGATTCCCAAAAGCCATCGGCCGTTATTGCAGCTCATCATTGGACTCAAAACCCACGTGTCAATCGTAATAGTTACATAACAAGTTTCCGACGAATACGGATCTAACCATCGACGCCGGGGGGAGATCAACGATGCATGCGTTTTGGCGAGGCAAGGCAGCGTGTTGTCAGGGTTTGCGCGAGCCGGGTGGCGGAAAGGGGTGTACGCATGAATGCGCACGCCACGGTGTACAACTATGTCTTTCCGTGCAGCAAGCGGTGACCTATCGGGACAGCACGAACGACAGGGCAACCCTTATGAGGGCACATTAATTTTCTTGCCAAAGGTGTGGTAAACCTCTACTCCCTGTAGGCGTGGTAACACCAGGTGCGACACGACCTGCCTGTCCGTTGTGGCGGTGTGAGTTGTATCAAGTGTGGCATCACCGTGGAGACCAACCCGCCCCGCCGCGAACAACGAAACGCCGCTCGTGACTGGAACAGCATGCTAGTCACGGACGCAACAATTCCATGAGAACCAAACACTACTGTTAACGCATGAAGTATACCACGCTTGCTACGAAGCGCAACATTGTGTACAGTACGCTAAGGCGACCAAACGCCCCGCCGTGTATCGAAAGACATTGTTGTGGACCACTGCCCAGCGAGTGTGGTGGCACGAAAGAAACAGACAAACCTATCTGCTGGGTTGGGCAACATGTGATGACCGAGAAAAAGACCCGCATTGGCCACATTGCATGGGTGTTGACGCCTTGCGGTGTTCGGGACTCGACGATGACTTTGCTTCTTGAGCATAGCATGTGGCTCGGCTCGAACATGATGTCACAAAACTCGGCCATCCTCACGATGACGGATGAGAAAAAACGTGGACAAAACGTTTACGTTCTACGGTGTTCGGGAAAGAAAAAACAGCTTTTATAAATTGCCGCCCAACGAAACATACCGAGCCGAAAAGTTCAACACCCAACACGTCTATTCACACTTGGACGTTTGACTGGCCCGCCTGTTACTACTCCACACACCCTCCTCCCACCCAACGAAAAACAGATATCTAAACAGCTCATTCATAGCTACAGCAGGACGGCATCAGAGAGCCGTTACCACTGTCGCCGTACGGTAACGAAGCGCAACGAGAACTTTTTTCACATCGAACATACATTCGCTAAACGAATATATTTGAACAAACGGCCGTCCAGAGGGAAGAGGGAAGCGGAACGCTTAAACATTCGTTCCTGCTGGACTCGCACATACTAATTCATGCAAGGACTCTATATGTAGCGCGCAACCGACCAACAACAGGGCAACACAATCTACCCGTCCGCCGGCTTCACTCATGTGCGGGTGGCGCGATTTTCCCACTCGGCTCCCACATTCGGCACCACTCTCTTGTTAGTGAGACAGGTCACCACGTACCTCCGGGGGTTACGATACGCTCAGCGAGGTACTGCACCCGCATCTCCCCGGTCCCGCCAAAACACCCCCCTCCCTATCCTAGACCATCAAGCAAACGCCCATAAACTACACAAGGTAAAATCTATCCCCCCATTCCCCTTGGTGCGACTCGCCAAATACCTCACGGCGCTTCGCGTTTGGTAATGTGAAAGCCTGGTCCGATGAGAACCCGGCGTGCTCCATCTCGGCTTTGTAGGGATGCGAGGTCAATGGTCTCACGACTATGGCATGCACGACGATGAGTACACCCCCCCCTCTCCCCCCCTCCCCCTTGGTCGATGGTGTAACAACGAAGGCATGTACAACATGAGCACGCCCCCCTCGGTCGCCCCCTTCTGCGTCGGCCAAAATCCGACGCACTCCGCTGCTTCCAGGCGACACCACAATCAAAGGCAGTAAACTCCTATGTACGGCCATGCATTATGAGCAAGTGCATCTCGCTGGCTCTTCGCTCCGTTCCCTGTTGGGGCGTATACACCCACCCCCAGCATAAACACAGAACACGAGACACACACATACACACACACACACACCTCTTCCTGCCTTGTGTGCAAACGCATCCCGGACGTTCGACCGGCGCTTCGTTGCGAAGGAAACGAATCCCCATGAAATGAATCCCCATCCACCCGTCGTCGGCCACAACCCGATAGACAGAAGCGACCTACCGAGCGTTTCTTGCCAGCTTCCGCAGCATGCCGGGCCATACAGAGAGGTCCTGTACGCCAACACCGACAAGCCCCAGCTACCACGCCGGCTGGTCATCGCAGAACGCCACAGCATCGAGGTGCTACTCTCATGTTGTGGAATAACGAGTCAAAGCGTTGCACGGAACAAACCCGCTATTTACTCTTGTTTTTACGGGTTTCCACTACTTGACGGAATGTTTCCCGGGTTTCCGGGCTGCAACTAACTTTTCGCAAGAGCGAGGAAGGGTAACTCCTTAAAAACAGCGAGCAAGTTTATCCTGCTCCCCACATCTCCGGGAGGGGACGGGAACGTCCTTCGTGTTCTTCCTCAATAACGGCCATGATGACCTGAAGCAGCCGCGCTTGGTACACTCTTTCCTCGGCGGGGCACATCAAGTCTAAATTCGCCCGGCCTCTCATTTCTACACCAGGACCGCTGACACCAGGGGGGCGAGCTGATGAAACGGGCAGAAAGACGACGATAAGGGGGGACGGGGAGGGGGGATAGTACGGAGTGACGGAAGTGGGAACGAAGGAGGGGGTGACAGGGGTATCCACTCAACATCAATTCATGACCGTCTGCAGAGTTCATAGACCCATCCTATGCACCCTGCAATGACGGACGGGGGGCGCGTTGATATCTTGACAGCACAGGGCGACGCAGGCGGCGGGCGCAGCACGACATGCTCTGCTTTGCTTTGCTGTGGCCGGGGGGGCGGAGGGGGAGACTGGACTGATCATCACTCCGTTCGAGGAGAGATGAGGTGGTTTATCTTCACCGCTAGCTAGATGTGCGGTTGCTGTGTGATGCACCTGGCTGGTGGATGAAACGGCCGAGAGCGCATGCGGATGCGGATCGTGGTACCGATGGCACCGATCTTGACGATCATGATGCCATTAACCCGCACTGGTCAAAGTCCTGAGCACCCCGACTAACGTGCCCCATTTGTCTTTCCTCCCTGCTGGGGTGGTGCTGACATGATGGGCTCATGACTTCTGTTGGACCAGGCGTATTGGTCGACCCCCGCCCCACCCCCGCGCCATCGAGGTATCAAACAGATAGAAAGGCGAGGGCACTTTATCTCGCCTCCATCGCCTCTGCTCCCCGAAGCAACCACAGGGGGTGGTAAGCTCTCTTTTTTGTTTTGTTCAACACAATAAATCCGAGATCTTCCCAACCAGGTACCTCATGTTAGATGCAAAGAGCACGGCTTCCCTGCCAGGTACGTCATGTTAAACGTGCACGGCGCCGGGCCGCATCTGTTTCGCTTACCTCGACTCTCTTCTCTACTCCGCGCGTCATGACACCAGGGTTGCGTAGGCCTGCAGGACCGACACAACCTCCGGCCGAGTGCAGAGCAACAACGCCTCTTCTAACGTAACCTGACCTCCCGACAGCAGGGTGAAACGAAAAGCGAAACAGAGGCACAAGGAGAAGTGGCAGAAGTGGGCGAAGGTGCAAATGATGGAAGGGGGGAGTGCAGTGTTCGACTGTTGTGATTCGCACAGCAGTATACTAAGGTGTTCCATGGTTGAAGCTGTTTTGGTTTGGTCTGGTTTCAACATGACGTGGACGGTGCCCTGGTTGGGCAGAGGAGGGGTTGGGACTCTGGAGCTGCAGCAGCAGGAGAATACTACATGTGGGGCGCCGGGGGAGCGAACGAGGACCAACTTCACGAAGGCAGCTTTTAAGTACGCAAACCCAACCAGCTTCAACATAGGCGACAGTTTGATGCCGCAAAATGAGTGACAATGGTGGAGAGGAAGCAGGTAAAAACAAACAAAGGGAAAGAAACTGGTGTCAATATAACATTCCTCGGTTGAGGAAGCCCCAGACCTAGATCCAAAGTGGCCTACCGAAAGCTGTGGCGCTTCAAGCTGCTGTGCAACCTCAAACAAATTTACGGTCCCGTGCAAATTCATACAGCAGAATCTAGCAGCTCTCACGCCCCGCCCTCTCGCGTGTTTCTCTGATCAAGATTGGGCCAGGCAGTGGGAAAAGGGTTGGTTGTTGCAGAAGTACGGAGGGCATCGACGAAAGCACGAACCAACCCAAGTGCTCTGTCTCTGTCTCTCCCTCCTTCTCTCACACACACCCATAGCCCATAGCTATAGGTTGCGCCCGGTAGAATCTTTTGAACAGAAAACGCGCTCAAGTTGTTGTTTCTCTGTAAGACTCACGTCTTTCCATTAGTCAGCCAGATAGCGCGGTCGATGCCAATTATAAATACACACACACACACACACACACACACACACTCCCTCTCTCTCTCTCTTCTCTGCCTCACCACTTTCCGTCTCCTGTGCTTCTCCGGCCACTCGTCCAAGACGTCCGACACCAGCAGAGCGAACATCGCAGCCCGGCTCTTGTTGCCTCGGCTGCTGACGATCTCGTGTGGGCCCAAGTCGGCGGTCACCAACCCTTTCACCTTTTCTCAACCGACCAGGAGACGGCGTGAACAGCAAAGGCAAACGCGCACACATTCGCGGTGATTATGTACGTGGATGCACCGCCAGCCAGCCTATCGCCTTTTCATCGGCAAATGCAACGTCAAGGGGATCAGCTCACCATGAACGAACAGAAAATGCAGAGGTACACATCACCAAATGAATCAGGACTCCTAGGTGAGGTCGTAGTGGTTGTGGCACCAGCGATTTTGGTGAAGGGTCAGGAAGTTTGACCTCGAAATCAGTAAGAAGCACGTCCGTCGAGCACACAGCAACGCCAGATTCAGAAATAGATTTCGTGACGCCATCGCCGTACCGAGACACATGACTCTTCCTTCCCCCTCGGCCTGCTTCCCCGCCGGGGCCGAAATCGACCTAAGAGTGAGTCCCTCGCGGGGGAACCAGGCAACAACAGATAGAAGGCGGGTGGTGTCCCGAGGTGCAACTCACCGCCGCGCTGGCTCAGCGTGGCGGTTAGGATGCACAGACGGTGGTAGTGGCGAGAGGTGTGTAGTCTNGACCGCGGGCACCGCGGGGAGGGAGTGCTGCACCCTCCTCGTCAAAACACCACAGGCAAGAACCGAGCTCTGCAGAGATGGATTGATGCGAGGAAACTCGCCGCTCGGGAAATACGGAAGAAAGCACACACGCAACGCGTTTCGGACCGAGAGAGACACGAGACCGCAGCGGCCGTCAAGACGGCTGCGAAGAAGAAGGCACGAGAGGGCGACCTATCGTTCGGCACGTTCCACGTACGCACGCTCGCCTGCAGCGGTAGGAACCCCATCGGTCACAACGTGATGACGGTCATGCAGATTTGTTCCGCGACCGGCTGTGATGTGATAGGACTTCAGGAGACCCGACGAGCGGGGCAAGGTTCAATTGCACACGACGGGTACGTGATCATCTGGAGTGGCGCCCGTGCTGGCACCAAGGACAAGAGGGGCGTACACGGTGTGGGCATAGCGATCAAGGAGGCCATGTGGGAGAGTGTGGGCGAGGAAGGTAGGACGGTGGAGTGCATTAGCCCGAGGCTGATGAAGGTGCGTCTACAAACCTGCTGGGTAACTTTCGTGGTGGGGTACGCCCCCACGGAAACTGTCCGCACCACCGCGGGCGGTGATGTTAAAGCCAAGGACTCCTTCTGGACTGCTCTCGACGCAGCGATCCGGGAGGTTCACAGCCGTGACCATCTCGTGGTGCTAATGGACGCCAACGCACGCACTGGTAGGAGGCGAGACGGGTGCTGCGATGCCAAGATTATGGGCGCGTACGGACGCGACATTATGAACAACAACGGGGAACGACTCCTTGGACTGGCGTCAGACAACCAACTCTCCCTGACCAACACCTACTTCCGGACACCGAAAGGTGGAGTGCAGCACACATTCCAGAGC